TTGTCATATTTCTTAAAAATAAGTTTTATTATGCTAAAGTTCAGTACAGTAGCTCTTTGTTTTTTTTTTATCGTTGCACATTATTCCGTTGCGCATCTTTCCCGTCACAATCCAGGACACACCGACACGCCACTTTAGTTGAAATATTGTGATTTTATCTTAATTTACGTAAGCTTTAGTTTCGAAATTAAATTAAAATGTATGCGTGTTGATTAGATTAACATTTTTGTACCTAGCATTAGGTAAGATACAGATACATAACATTATGATGGCGACTTGATCGCCAGCTAGGTAAGTATAACAATAATTAATTTTATTAAAGTTTTGAATTGCTGATGAAAACTTGCATAAAATACAAGCTTTTCATACAAGGTTTATTTAACTTGCTTCCTCGATCGATCGTCTGTCAGTCTACATCGAAACGCCGAGGGAAATTTCAGACACTTCTAACTGACAGATTTGTTTCAACGTTGGTACTTGGGTCAAGAAATAAATACAATGCAACGTGACATTAAATTTTAATTAATTGGTTGTCTTAATTACTTTTTTTTTAAAGTAGAAAATAAATTATACACTACAATTTAAATAACTTTTACACTACAATTTAAATAACTATGAAGAAAAGCGTGAGTCTCTTCCTACATATTAGTAAAGGTATCCAATATATACTAAAATGACCCACGCTTTTCTGTATAGTTATTTAAATTGTAGTGTAGGCCTATAATTTATTTTCTACTTTTCTGTGCATTATTCCATAAAACCTTGTTTTTAAAACGTTTTTTATGAATTTGTTTACAAGCTTTTACTTAACTTGTTTCTTCTGTTTGTCTTCTGTCTAAGAAAAATTATTTTAACAAGTCTAAAAAAAACGAAATCATAATATTAACAAATCTGCAAAAATCAAAATCGCGATTTTAACAAATCTGTAAAAATCAAAATCGTGATTTTAAAAAATCTGCAAAAATCGAAAACGTGATTTTAACAAATCTTCAAAAATCGAAATCGTCATTTTATCAAATCTGCAAACATCAAAATTGTAATTTTAACAAATCTGCAAAAAATTGAAATCGTGATTTTTAACAAATTTGAAATCGTATTTTGAAGAAATTCTTTTAAAAAATGTGGTTTCAACAAATCTGCAAAAATAAAAATCGTGATTTTAACAAGTCTTCAAAAAATCGAACCGTGATTTTGACAAATCTGCGAAAATCAATATATAACGATTTTAACAAACCTACAAAAAAATTTTAAAGTTTAACTGATTTAACTTTTACACCTACTTAACCCGAAAAAAAAATTAATTTTCATTAAGGTCTGTATGTCTGGGTTTTTTGTTAGCTTGCGTGTGTGTGGGGGGGGGGGGGGGATGTCTAATTGGATGTTTGTCTTTATTTACGTTAACACGATAACCTTATCGTTTCAGCTAGGTTTTCTTTAAACTTTTTTAGCGTTTTAGGTAATCGAAAGTGTCACTAAATTTACTCTCGGTTTCTTAAAGAAAATAACATTATTACAGTTTCAGTTAGATAGACGACATTTTATAAATAAGCAAAATAAGCAAATAAGCAAAAAAGCCTATACATTAGGTTATGTCAAAGTTCAGGTAACTGGAAGTAGTATTTAATTTTATTTTAGATTTTCTAAAAAACCACAATGCGTTTTTTTACTATCTTCGTGGAAACTTAACAGGAACATTTCGAACATCGATTAGCTTTAAATTCTTTTTATTTTTCTACACGATTCTTTTCTATTTAAAAATTTAAATATAAAAAAATGATTTAAAAATATGTATATAGCCCGATATTAATGGTGGTGTAACTTTCCACTTAGTGTTAAATAATGATATACGAATAGAGTTCAGGGGAGATCACTCACGCTTTATTCCTAATCTTCTAAAATACATTTATGTACTCTTACTTTATATGCTGTCATAATCAAAACATACTTTAATTTTTATTACTTTATTCTGGATGGAATAATCAAAGCAAGAACGGCGTAAAGAAGCTGAAATTCCGAGGGCGGGGTGCTAAATAGGAAAGTCCCATGAACTAAATCATGACGGTAACTCATCTCTTTTATTTCTAAATTGTGCAGTTATAGAGCATTTCATCATTTATAATACTGTTTGATACACACGAAACGCAAGAACATTTCTTCACAGACATCAACCACGTTTTAAAAGTTGTCCTACACCAGACGGAGAGGATTGAGAAACTTGGGGCAGGTAAAGTGAGTGGCGGATGCTAGTGTTAAGGCTTTTGTGGTGAAGGCTGTTGGGGTGAAGGCTGTTGGAGTAAAGGCTGTTGGGGTGAAGGTTGTTGGAGTGAAGGCTGTTGGGGTGAAGGTTGTTGGGGTGAAGGCTGTTGGGGTGAAGGTTGTTGGATGTTGGAGTGAAGGTAGTTGGGGTGAAGGTTGTTGGGGTGAAGGCTGTTGGGGTGAAGGTTGTTGGGGTGAAGGTTGTTCGAGTGAAGGTTGTTCGAGTGAAGGTTGTTGGAGTGAAGGTTGTTGGAGTGAAGGTTGTTGTGGTTAAGGTTGTTGGAGTGAAGGTTGTTGGGGTGAAGGTTGTTGTGGTAAAGTTTGTTGTGGTGAAGGTTTTGGGGTGGAGGCTGTTGGGGTGAAGGATGTTGGGGTGAATGTTGTTTGGGTGAAGGTTGTTCAAGTGAAGGTTGTTCGAGTGAAGGTTGTTGGAGTGAAGGCTGTTATTGTGAAGGCTGTTGGGATGAAGGTTGTTGGTGAATGTTGTTGGGGTGAAGGCTGTTAAACCAAAGTCTGTTGGGTTGGGCTGTTGGAGTAAATACTGTTGGGGTGACAGCTGTTGGGGTGACAGTTATTGCTGTTAAAGTATTGTTTGGAATTGCGTAATAGAGGACCACGTGGGGAATCAATAGATGCATTTGTGTTTATGCATGTCACATTAAAATGAAAATAGTAAAAATTAATTGTAGGGTTGTATGTAAAAATATAAAATCGTCGTTTAGATAGACATTTTTAAAATTTTTATTTATTTTAATAGCCGACTGCGGTAATGTGATAATCACAATAAAAGACACAAGATAATGTGTAAATAGTGATGTATACACGTAGAACGTTATAATAGAACTTGCTGGTCTTCCTTGAGATGGAAGTTGATCAAGGTAGCTGATTGTACAGAAGGGTCCTCTATAGCCTGTACATCGAAGAAATAGAATATTATAGTTGGTCAAAAGTTGACGTTATCTGATGCGCTGAACTACAATTAATGTCACTCTTTTGTTTTGGCATATTGTGATGGACGACATACGTTGATTTTCATTGACTGACGACTGTTATTTAAAAGAATTGTAACAGCAGACGATGGCACATCTGAAGCACTGCTAAAACCTCATCGCTGACTACCTGAACCAAGACACCGGCGCTATCACAGGAACCATATTTTTGGTCCAAATCTCTTCATCAAGCTCGACGACATTGATCTTGTCAAACAGTCCCGGCACGGACGTTAAATGTGGCAAATTGCTTTCTTTACTAAACAAATTTAGCTCGTTCTTATAACAGACAGCTCCACTCAGCCACCATTCAAAAGTCCAAAGACGAACTACCGGTGTGAATTTTACGGCCTTGTCAGAACCTCTCTTTACTGATAGTAAAAATCCGTTTGAAAGTAAAAGGAACGTTTCTTTTTCTATATGTATTGTGAAAGCCTTCACAAAATCTCCACCAGCATTGGGTATTATTGTTGTGGTTAGAAGTCTCGTTTCCAGATTGTACAATTTGACTGGTAGATGCATCGAAGACGATTCGAGGGGAAACATCAAAATGTCATTTTCAAAAGTACAAAGTGGTACACAAGCACGACTTATGTTTAGTACCACCGTGTTCATCAATTCTGGATCCACTATGCTACTTCGGGTTGCGGCGTAGCGATCATTTGTTTTGACGCAAACAATCTTTTTATTTACACGGAATAAAGTAAAGAGATAATTGTGTTTTCCACATAACTCATACAATATAGAGACAGTTTTGTTCTCTTTTAACACAAGAACAGTTACGAGGCGGCATTTATGATTGGTGAAAGGGCAGTTTCTTAAGTGCCTTTCACATATGAAACATACTTTTGACCCAAGTGAAACAACAGACTTTATTTTACTGTATCTTCCCTTAATATATTCCAGATTGATATTACTATAACGTCTGTTCTCCAAATCGTAGAGGTGCAGACATCCTGAAATAGATTCAACAAACACCAGGACAGTTCTCTTTTCACAGAATTTTCTAAGAGGTGTCAGTGTGGCGCTCTCTAATGGATACACACCTAACTTGTATTTTAGGGCTTCTTTTACTCCATGATATGCATCTGGGCATTCGTATATATCAGGGTTTTGGAGTAAACTCCGAAGGTACCTAGCGGTAACTAAAGTAATTTTTGCACTAGACATGAGTTTGGCAAGATACTTTGCACGGTCGCCTGTCCGGCTACATTTTGTGACGTCACCAATAAGGTCCTCATTTTTGACGTCATCGTGCTGGTCATGTTTTCCGAAGTTATTGCCAGGCTTGTCAGTTGCTATTTTGCCAGCCCCAGCTACGGTTAATGAGTCACAAATCTGGCCAACAGAAGAAGTGACGTCACGAGAGTGATCCTCACTGTTCAGGAGTTCATCATCCTTACACGCGATTTTCTTTTTGCTGCGTTCACGTGTCATACAAGCACCTTGTTGGTATTTTCCGTGTGAAACCCACGTTAAAATTGACTCCAGAACTGCGTCCTCGGTTTTTACATTCAACTCCTCACATTTGATGCAAGATAATACTAATTCAAAAGGTTAATTCAGAAACTCTTTCATCCTGAATAAATGCTCGTAATTTTGCTTAATGAACATTTGCGACCCTACTTTGACAATTGTGGAATTGTAATCGACAGCTTTTAAATAAAAGTGCCATAGATTATCAATTGATAATTTATTGATGACAAAATGTTCTATTTCTTTAAGATATATTGAAATATCCAGACGATTGGCTGCATCCCAGATGTCATCAATGTTGTCAGTCGTCAGACCATGGACACGCTGGTGGATGAAATTTAAAACAACAGCGAAAGTCTCACTTGTCATACCCTGTAGCTCCACCCTCCCTTCTTTGGCCTCCTTCATGTTGCTTCTAAACAAGGCGTCGAAGTATGCGGAAGTTGAACTCAGGATTTCCCGTTGGCTTTTAAACTCGGTACCGTCAACTATGATGGTGAAATCACATGAAGCGGCGTTCATCGTAGGCGAACAAGCCATTTTTAAGTTTGTTGATGTTTATCTCAGTTGTAAAAGTGGCGCGATGATCTCTGAGTGTACATCTGGAAATATATGTTTGTTAAGGTTTAGTGAAAGCCTGTCGGTGTGGTGGGATGGTGGAACTCATGTCAGCTAACTCTAAAGACTCGAGCTCGAATCCCTGAATTAAGTCCGTACAATGGCCCTGAGTCCACCCTGCTCAGTTAGAAACCTGACTCACGTAAAGAAAAAGATGATTGGACATAGCGCTGGATACACTAACTACTCAAAATGTTACATCATCCGCGTAATAGAATGCCAACTTCTGAACGGTAACTTAACTACTTCTTTGTGATTGAATACCTTTATTAATCTCAGTGTCAATTTGAATAATATCAACGCTAGGATTAGGAACAGGAGAGTCATATTTGTTTAACGGATACATTGTGTTCACTCTATGCTGAGTAATGACAGAATATAAGCTTCTCATATTGTTTTTTTTTTGTACTACTTAAATGTAACTGCTACTATTATATTTTAATTTTACTTTCAGGATTATCGTTAGATAATGATTAAATTAGTATTTAACGTTACCTTCAAAGGTAAGTTTAGTAAAGGGTTGACGTTACCTGTCTGTATTTTGTATTACTTACAGGTAGTAATTTCATTTCGTTCCTGATGTTTCATACGGTTTACAACGGCATATGAAGGTAAAGTACCATGCACAACAGTCCCTTTCGTGAGACCAATACCCATCAGAGCTGGGTGAACTCAGGAAACATTCTATGGTTAGGTGGTGATCAGAGCTGGAGGAACTCAGTGACTTCCTACAAAGGCTTACATCTTAACTTGATAATTTCGGGTACTCTCGTGGATGTGGCTTGGTCTGATGGTAGAACTTATGACGTGTAACCTGAAAGTTAGAAAAACAAATGCGTCTAGGCATAGTGAACACACGGACACGGCTTTAGATGTCAAGTGCTCTATGCAACATAAAAGACGAACAACTAAAATGGGTTAGAAAACAAAAATAATTTTAATGAAACATCGGCTTGTTAAAACTAAAAGAGATTAATACTATATACATTATCTACACAACACAGACTATTCTAAATACAAATACTTACGCTAGTACGAGTTGAACACAAGCTAAGATACAGTGGCTATCTAACAGTAGAGAAATAACCCATACTGGCCTTCTAGGAGAACTGGACTAAACTGGGATAATCACACATATTCTCACACACCTTACAGAAAACAGGTACAAAACGAAACTACACAACTTACAGTACAGTTAAAAACTATAGATCTATACACTATCAATAAACACAGACTATTCTAAATATAAATACATAAACAAACAAAAATTCTGAAAAGACGTTCCAGATATAATTAAGTGGAAAGAAAGCTATAAATCTATATTGTCCATTACATGGTTGAGAAATCATAAAGCTGCAGGGCTAGGTTTTATTATTATCTGATAGATTAAACATAAATATTACCTTTAGATTTTAGAACATTGTAAGTGTAAAAATTTTAGAGCCAAATAATGTAAATAAATAATAGTTGAAGTTGCCTTAAAAATGTGCCATCCGTTCATTTAAAAAAAAATGTTTGCGTTGTCTTTCATAATCGCGACTAAGCTGACATTTTTAGAAACCAAATTCTTGGTGCGAAAAAGCGTAGATCTTAAATAACTTTATTTTTTTATAGGAATTTGTAGACTTACATATGAGGGGGGAGGCTTGGTGAAGACATTTAATGGACGCGGGCGAGAAAATATTCGAGAGGTCATTAAATATTTTTAAAAGCATGCAAGACGTAGTTACAATTAATATGGTTATAAAATCCTGTCTGTCTGGTTTTATTTGGACTTTACTAAGGATTAGTTGTATTGGATGTTTTTAATATTTTCGGTAACTATATAAACATTAAAAAAAAGCAAAAACAATTTGGTTTTCACGTGTAATGGCGACATAAACAATGGTATCCTGCTATTCGATAGGCTGCCATATTTTTTATTGTACACATTGTAAGCGAAAACAAATAGGAAAACTAGGTCATGTGGTTTGAATTTGCAATGGTATTTAAAAATTATATAAATTATAACAGATAGTTATCGATCACGGAGTTCCTGTATAGCCAATCAATATTTGTCTTACGAGAGTGAAACATCCGGTTAAATTTACTTTTTATGAAAATAAATAGAAAAATGAAAATGAAAAATGTCTGAATTAATTTTAGGCTTACGTTTTTATTTATTATTTTTATGGTTGCTTTGTTTGCTAAATCTAAAAAAGCACGTTTTTATTCCATGTCAACAACATGAAGGAAGGATTCTCGTCTACTCGCTCGCCTCCATTAAGTTCCTCAACACATTTAAGAAATTCGTTTGGACATCACTTTGCCAATAGACATCGTTGTCTGATTATTAGACGTCAAGGATGGTACATTAGAAAATTCGCAATTTAAAAACTATTCAATGGAAATTACGCAAAAACTAACTAATTATACTAATACACTTTAATTTTGCCATATTTCGTGCTAATATGTTGTTTTTTTTTGCTACAGTATACATGTGGTGACTGTTTTTTTAAATGTAAAATATAAGAAAACCAAAATGTCCTTACAACTTTTTGTGCGCATTTTCCGTTGCGCATTTTTCCATTGTGCATCAATCGTCTCACTGTCCAGGACACAATGGAGATATAATGTAGTGCTTTTATATTATTGTTTGTATCCTTTAGTTCGATTTTATATCAAATGTATGTGTGTTGAACAGATTTATATTTGTTAAGAAATTTGTAAAAAAACCTATTAAAATACATCTTTGACATTAGGTGTTGATTTGAGAATGATAGTTTAATGACAGCCAACACAATTAATTTGACGCGATTTTATAATCTGTATAAATGACCAACTCAACTTAATATGCATTTTAAAACTTTTATAATAGTTTTCTTTTTGCTTTTAGAATATCGATGCGGTAACGCTTTATAGTCTTTCTTTATTATTGTTATATCCTAATTCATACTAATATATTTCGCATTGCAATTAAACAGATAAAAGTGCTAAATAAACAAGTGATCAGTTAGATACCAACATACTTTAAAATGGTACAATTTTCAGGTGTTAATAATTGTACCAGGATTTGTCGAGTGTGTGTGGGGTCGTAGATATTTCACATTAATATTTTTCACGTAAAATTTGTTTGTAAGTTTTATTTAAAGGCCAGTGCAGGGCATGTTTGTGCCGGCTAGTTAATAAGAAAAAAATCATAATTAACTATCGTCACTAAACGAATTTGATAATGTAGAAATGTATAAATACTTAAATTTCATGATTCACGTCTGATTGTGAAATTAAATTAAAGTTACATTCAACATTATTAAGCCCCATTTTCCCTACATGATTGACTATTCGCTTTTAGTTACAGTTCCTTAAACCTAAGCTAAACCTTTCAATAGCTCCATATACCCATATTATACAGTTTTCTTCAATAGATTCATGCATACGTAATTATTAACGTTCACTGGCATATCAATGAAGAATGTTCCTACCTTTTACAGTTATATCCATAACACACCCAGGCGTCGAAGTATGTCGAAGTTGAACGCAGGATTTCCTGTTGACTTTTAAATTCAGTGCCGTCAAACACGATGGTGAAGTCACATAATGCATCCTTCGTCTTAGGCGTACAATTCATGTTTAGACTTTGAGGATGCATGCGAGAAGATATTCTTTGTGTCCTTGTGTGGATCTTTCAGTATAAAAAGATTTCGATGATCTCTTAGTTTACATCGGGAAATAAAAGTTTTTAAAGTGCATTGAGGGCATGATGGTTAGGTTGGAATGTAGAACTCACGACTGCTAATTCAAAAGTTTCGAGCTCGAATCCCTAGATTATCTGTACAATGTAAGTGAGCACCCAGCTCTGATAAAAATCTGACTCACGTAAAGATAAGAAAAGATTATTGGACTTAGTGCTGACCACAAGAACTACTCAAATGTTACATCATTATTGGACAGCCAGCTTGTAAAGGGTAACTTTACTACTAAAAAGTGATAGATTAAATATGTTTATCTAAGTATCGTTGTGAATGATATCAAGGCAAGGATTAGGACTAAATGAACCATATATGTATAATTCGTTTTACTCTACGTTGCGTAATAGCATAATATAGTTGGAGAAGAAGTTCTCATAATGTTCTTATCGTGATAAATTAAGTCTCACCGCTAGTATTAGATTTTAATTCTACTTAATGTCTATGGTTGCTAAGATATCTCGGTTATATTAGTCATTAAGGTTACTATCAAAGGTATGTTAAGGTTTTGGATTGAAGTTATCTGTCTTCTTGTATTATTATTTACATATATTTTAGGTTTTGTATTGAAGTTATCCGTCTTTATTTATTATTATTTACATATAGTTAATTTTTCATTGTGTAACTACACTTCCATACGGCAAATAAAGTACTGTTTATCTTTTTCTTGTCAACTGCATATGAAAGTATAGTTCAATCAGCATTACTCTTGACTTTTATGTCACTTACGTGAGACTGTCACCCATCATAGCTGGGTGAACTCAGGGACTTTCTATTGTTAGGCATCCATTAGAGCTTGGTGAACTCATGGGGTATTCTATGGTTAGGTACCTATCAGAGCTGGATGAACTCAGGTGACATTCTATAGTTAATTACACATCCGAGCTGGGTTAACTAATCTACTGATTAGATTCAAATATACTAACGTAGGAATTTTCGGGTTATCTATCTAGCACTTTCGGGGACGGCTTAGTCTGTTGGTAGAGCTTACTATTGCTTACACCAAAGTATCGGGTTTGGATCTCGGGCTCTATGAGTCGTCCAACCTCAGATTGGCATAGAGCTGACTATATCATCCCCAATTATGCCAACGTAAATAGACCTGATGAACTCTACTTTATCTGCCCAATCTATGTCTTGGACACGAACGGCAAAAGATAATGATGAATCTGGCGCCTAACCACCCAACCACACAGCCCCATTATTTAAGTGTATTATTAAAAATGCTAAGACAACATTGAGACTGCTCACACATGCAACCATTAAGTGAGAACATAAGGACTCAACCATAGAGCGATACTGAAACGACGTTTCGGATATAAATAAGTCTTTAAAAAGCTATAAATGTAGAATGTTTATCATAAAAATTAGAAATCCAAAGGATGTTAGGTGTAAGGCTTGGGTTTATCATTATCTCATATATCATTCAACATTAATATTACCTTTAGACTTTAGAACATTTATAAACATAAAACTTCACAATTCCCCAGCCAAATAACGTAAGTAAATATCACTTTCGAAACAACAACTAAATTGCCCCATCCGTTAATTTAAAAAAAAAAATTGCGTATGATTATTTATAACCGCGACTATGCAGACGTTTTTAGGAAACAAATTCCTGGTGCGAAGAAGCGTAAATCTTGAATATCTTAATGTTAATTTTTTTACAAGTAGCTGTAAACTTACGTAGGAGGTGTGCGGGTGGGAAGAGGGGAGGGGGGGGGTTCTCTTTACCATGTGAAGCTATTTAGTTAAAGTACTCATTTAGGATATTTAGGATATTCGTTTGAGCGTCGCTTTGCCAATAATACATAGCTGAATGTAGTTCAAATCATAGTTATTTGCAAGAAAAATATTTTTTAAACCAGATCATGCTAAATAAAATCGTATATTGATATTTATGTAAAATTTAGGGATATAAAAATATGTAAAAATATGATTAGGGCCTAGGGGTCAGTTGAATTAGTTTCCATTTAGTATGTTTGTGCTGAACTAGAGAAGCACTTTAAAACGTAGGTAAATACTGCAATACCTACGCCGATACAATTGTAGTAGTATCGTTTTCATTTGTGGTATTGACTCTACTTAAATCCAGATGCACTTCCACATCAAATCATTTGCTGTGTTTAAAGTCACCTACGCTAGACCGAAAGGTTTGAGAATCTATGAGCAAGATAAATGCGGGTAATGTTTTTATACAGGTCGTGGGATAATGGCAGTGTAGGTGGTAGCTGTTGGAGTTAGCATCTGGGGTTAAATGATTTTGAGTTAAGGCTGAAGGGGTGAAGCTGTTGAGATTGTAGCTGTTGGGGTAAAGGCTGTTTGGATAAAAGGTGGTGGGGGGTGACGGCTATTACTGCTGTTGGAGAATTGTGTTGAACGCAGTATAGAAATCAACAAGGGAAGACAATACATGCACTTTTGTCACATTAAAAATGAATTTAAAAATTAAAAAAAAACAACATTTAAAGTTAATCAGAGATTTCATTTTTATTTCATTTTAATGACCGACAGCATAAATATGATAATCTAAAATACACAGGGTAATGTGTAAATTGTGATGTAAATTCACGTAAGAAAAATTAAAATAGAAACAGCTGGTAATCTGTGTGATGGAGTTTGTTGAATGTCATTAATCACAATCTTTTTTTTTGCATTTTATGTTTGACTATCTACGATGGTTTTCATTGGCTGACGACTTTTATTTAAAAGAATGGTGATAGCCGAGGATGGGACATTAAAAGCACTGCCAAAACCTCACTCAAACCAAGACAAGGGAGCCATCACAGGAACCATCTTTGATGTCCACATCACCTCCGTAAAATCGACGACATTGATCTTGTCAAAAAGTCCCGGCACTGACGACAAAATTGTCCAATTTGACACATGGCTTGTTGTACAAAACAAAGTCAGCTCGTTTTTATAGCAAACAGCTCCGTTTAGATACAATTCAAAAGTATTCCAAAGTTGAACCACCGGTATGAATTTGACTGCGTTGTCAGAACCTCTCTTGACCGATACTAAATCTCCGCTTGAGAATAAAAGAAACGTTTCTTTGTTTTTGTGTATGGCCACAGACATAAAACGTCGTCTTCCCAAACATTGTATGTGATTTGCTGTTTGAGTTTTAGTTTCAACGTTGTAAGTGTTGACTGGTAAATAGTTAGTTTGGTTAATGAGATGGTCTCTGAAATCAATCCACAAAATATCGTTTTCTAAAACAAAGGCTGAAAACATATTGATACGGGTGTTTAATATGACTGCCTTGAATATGTCGGGATCAAATATGCGACTTCTGGTTACAGCATAGCGATCATTTGTTTCGACGCAAAAAATTTTGTTCTTTACAATAAATAAATATAAGAGCAAACCGTCTTTACCGCACTTTTCATACAATTTTACTAACTTTTTATTTTCTTCTAACAAAAGGACAGTTGAAAGGCGGCATTTATGATTGGCGAAAGGACAATTTCTTAAGTACTTTTCACATACGAAGCAAAGTGTCGACCCCAGCGATACTACAAACACAACCCTTCTGTATCGTCCCTTGAAGTTCTCGAGCTTGATTTTACTGAATGTTTTGCTCTCCAAATCGTAGAGGTGCAAACCGAAATCCATTCCAACAAACGCCAAGGCATTTCTCTTTCCGCTGTTAGTTCGAAGAGGTGTCAATGTGGCGCTCTCTAAAGGATACACCCCACACTTGTATTTCAGTGCTTCTTGTATTCCGTGATAGGCATCTGGGCATTGGATTATATACGGGTTTGTGAGTAAACTCCTTAGGTAACTGACTGTAGCTAAAGTAAGTTTGGCACTCGACATGAGTTCGGCGAGATAATTTAATCGATCGCATGCCAGGCTACATTCTGTGACGTCACCAGTGTGTTCTTCATTTTTGAAGTTACCGTGCTGACCATGTTGTCTGAAGTTAATGTCAGGCTTGTCAGTTTCGTCAGCCTCAGCTACGGTTCGTGTGTCACAATTCTGACCAAACTTTCTGACGCTTTCCGACTGACCAGTACTTGTGACGTCACGAGAGTGACCCTCACTGGTCTGAAATTCAACATCCTTACACACCGCTCCCGTATCGCTAGGGTCAGGTGATATACAAGCACCTGGTCTGTACTTTCCGTGAGAAACCCAGACTAAAATGGACTCCAAAACTGAGTCCTCTGTCTTGACATTCAACTCCTCACTTTCGATACATGAAAGCACTAAAGGAAAAGGAAAATTCAGAAACTCTTTCATCCTAAATACAAGCTCGTAATTTTGCTTCATGAACGTTAACGACCCTTCTTTGGTGTGGATGGAATTGAAATCGATAGCTTTTAAATAAAAGTGCCATAGATTATCAATTGATAAATTATCAATTATAAATTGCTCTATTACTTTAAGATATATTGCTATATCCAGACGATTCGCTGCATCCCAGATGTCATCAATGTTATCAGCCGTCAGACCATGGACACGCTGGTGGATGAAATTTAACACAACAGCAAAAGTCTCACTTGTCATACCCTGTAGCTCCACCCTCCCTTCTTGTGTCTCCCTCATGTTGCTTCTAAACAAGGCGTCGAAGTAATTTGAAGCTGAACTTAGGATTTCCCGGTGGCTTATAAATTCAGTGCCGTCAACCACGATGGTGAAATCACATGATGCGGTGTCTGGCGTAGATGTACAAGCCATGTTTAGAATTTGGTGGTGTCTCTGCTATTAATTTCGTACAGCACTATCTCAGTATTAAAAATGTTGTGATGATCTCTCAGCATGCATCTGGAAATATATAAGTTTGTTTTAAGGTCATTATATAGTAAGGACATGCCGGTGTGGTGGGACTGTAGAGCTCACGTCTGCTAACTCTAAAGACACGAGCTCAAATCCCTGGATTGAGTACGTACAACTCAGCTCTGATATAAACCTGTCGCACGTGAAGAAAAGAAAATACAGTCGGACATTTGGCTGACCACACGATCTACTCAAATGTCGAGGTCACATTTTCTGCCCCATTGACTGTTATGTTCTAAATGGTAACTTTACTTTTTATTTGCTATGTATAATATATTTATCTCAGTGTCGTTGTGAATTAAGTCAAGGCTAGGATTACGACTAGGAAAGTCATTTCTGTATAGCAGGTACTTTTGATTCACTCTACGCTGAGTAGTAAAAGAATATAGTTGGAGAAGAGGTTCTCGTTGAGTTCTTAACTGGACTGATTCAAAGTCACCGTTTACAATTTACTTTTATTTAAATAGGATTAGTGTTTACGATTGTAGGTTAATTTAGTGTTTGGGGTTACTATCAAAAGTAAGTTTAGGTATGGGTTGAAGTTATCTGTCTGTATTTCCTATTATTTACAGATAGTGAAGTTTCCATTTTGTACCTAAATTTACATAATGCAGATGAATTAGTGTTTATTATATTCTTGTCAACTGCATGTAAACGTATAGTGCGATCGGCAGTAATTTAAACAGACGTGTTTCTTACATGGGACTGGTACCCAACAGAGCTGGGTAAACTCAGGGGACATTGTTTGGTCAGGTACACATCAGAGTTGGGTAAACTCAGGGGACATTGTATGGTCAGGTGCACATCAGAGCTGGGTAAACTCAGGGGACATTGTATGGTCAGGTGCATATCAGAGTTGGGTAAACTCAGGGGACATTTTATGGTCAGGTGCACATCAGAGCTGGGTAAACTTAGGGGACATTGTATGGTCAGGTGCACATCAGAGCTGGGTAAACTCAGGGGACATTGTATGGTTAGATTCCCATTAGAGCTGGGTAAACTCAGGGGACATTGTATGGTTAGGTACCCATTAGAGCTGGGTAAACTCAGGGACGTCATACAGACTATAGTCAAATAAACGAACGTAGGAGTTTTGTGTTAGCTATCTAGCGATCCTGTTAAAGGTGTAGTTTGGAGGTAGAGCCTAGATCTCAGACTTAAGTCTATGTCCACTCAGCTCAGATATATACCTGCCTCACGTTAGGGAAACCTATTCGGCGGAAAATAGTCCTGACTACAGTTTTCATTTGTTTGCCAAGGTTATCTACTTTATCTGCCCCATATAAATAAACCTGATTAACTATACTTGATCTGCCCCATATATGTCTTGGACTCGGTCGGTAAAAGATAATAATGAATCTGGCGCTCTACCACCAAATCACGCAGTCCTATTTTTGCATGTGTGATTAAAAATATTTAGACAACATCGAGACTGCTTAAATATGCAAACCTTAAGTAAGAACAAAATTACTCAGTCATGAAACGATACTGTAAGACATTTCTTTTATAAAAAAAAAGTGTTTAAAAAGGTAAAAAAATTAGATCGTCCATCATAGAAATGAGAAATCCTAAAGGTGTAGGGCTTGGTTTTATTATTTTCTGATATATTATTCAAAATTAGTATTACCTTTAGACTTTTAGAACATTTATAAATATAAAAACTTTACAATTTCAGAGCCACGTAATGTAAGTAAATATCAGCTGTGGAAATAACATTGAAAATGTCAAATCCGTTCATTAAAAAAATAAAATTGCGAATGGTCATTTATAACAGCAACTAAGCAGTATCCAAAATCTTGGTGCGCAAAAGTGTAGATCGTGAATGTCTTAATGTTTAAATGTTTTTTCATAGGAAGCTGTAGACTTACATGGGGGAGGGCGCTGTATTTCACCAGGTGAAGACATTTAATTCACGTCCTCAACAAGTTTAGGATATTTGTTTGGGCTTTGCTTTGCCAAGATACATCGCTGACTGCAACTAAGTCATAGTTATGTGCAAGAAAAATGCTTTTTAACAAGGCCATGCTAAGTAAAATCGTTTATTTAAGTTTACTTAAAACGTTGGGAATTTAAAAACACGTAGGTATAAGATTAGGACATAGGGGTCAGTTTTATTTTTTTTCCATTTAGTTTGTTCAGTGCTTAACTAGAGAACTACTGTTAAATCTAGGCCAGAGGCGTAGCGACGGGGGATGGGCAGGGGGGTACATATGTACCTGCCGACCCCATGAGAGCCAGAATGGTTTGGGAAAAAATTAAAAGCTCATTCTAGATGCAGTTTTTAAATTATAAATATAAAAAAATATATAGGGTGGGGGTCGCTACGCCTCTTATCCAACTGCAATAGCGACAATTACAATTGTTTTAGTGTTCTTTTCATTTTTGGTATTGACTCCATTTAAATCTAGGATCACATCCACAGCTAATTATCTGCTGTATTTAGTGTGAATCATCGTTTGGCTTTGGAACGATATCTAGAAAATGTGCAACCTCAAAAATGCAATACAAAAAAATGCGCAAATAGAAACAAATTATATTAATACAATTTAATTTTGCCATATTTTTTAAAAATATGTTTTATTATGCTAAAGTTCAGTACAGTAGCTCTTTGTTTATTTTTATCGTTGCACATTATTCCGTTGCGCATCTTTCCAGTCACAATCCAGGACACACCGACACTCCACTTTAGTTGAAATATTGTGATTTTATCTTAATTTACGTAAGCTTTAGTTTCGAAATTACATTAAAATGTATGCGTGTTAATTAGATTAACATTTTTGTACCTAGCATTAGGTAAGATACAGATGACGACTTGATCGACAGCTAGGCACGTATAAAAATAATTAATTTTATCAAATTTTTGAATTGCTGATGAAATCTTGCATAAAATAAAATTGTCTTTTTACAAGCTTTTCTTACAAGCTTTTATTTAACTTGCTTCCTCGATCGATTGTCTGTCTGTCTAGATCAAAACGCCGAGGGAAATTTCAGACACTTCTAACTGACAGATTTGTTTCAACGTTGGTACTTGGGTCAAGAAATAAATAAAATGCAACGTGACATTAAATTTGAATTAATTGGTTGCCTTAATTACTTTTTTTTTAAAGTAGAAAATAAATTATACACTACTATTTAAACAACTATGAAGAAAAGCGTGAGTCTCTTCCTACATATTAGTAAAGGTATCCAATATATACTAAAATGACCCACGTTTTTCTGTATAGTTATTTAAATTGTAGTGTAGTCATATAATTTATTTTCTACTTTTCCGTGCATTATTACATAAAAGCTTGTTATTAAAACGTTTTTCATGAGTTTGTTTACAAGCTTTTGTTTAACTTGCTTCTTCTGTTTGTCTTCTGACTAAGAAAAAATATTTTAACAAATCTAAAAAAAAACGAAATCATAATATTAACAAATCTGCAAAAATCAAAATCGCGATTTTAACAAATCTGCAAAAATCAAAATCGTGATTTAAACAAATCTGCAAAAATTAAAATAGTGATTTTAACAAATCTGTCAAAAATCGAAAACGTGATTTTAACAAATCTTCAAAAATCGAAATCGTCATTTGATCAAATCAGCAAACATCAAAATTGTGCTTTTAACAAAGCTGCAAAAAATTGAAATCGTGATTTTTAACAAATTTGAAATCGTGTTTTGAAGAAATTCTTAAAAAAGGGTGGTTTAAAAAAATCTGCAAAAATAAAAAACGTGATTTTAACAAGTCTTCAAAAAATCAAACCGTGATTTTGACAAATCTGCGAAAATCAATATATAATGATTTTAACAAATCTACAAAATTTTAAAAAACTTAACTGATTTAGAACTTTTACACCTACTTAAGCCGGAAAAAAACTTGTTAGCTTGCGTGTGTGTGTGGGTGGGGGTTGTCTAATTGGATGTTTGTTTTTGTTTAAGGTAAACACGATAACCTTATCGTTTTAAGCTAGGTTTTCTTTAAACTTTTTTAGCGTTTTAGGTAATCGAAAGTGTCACTAAATTTACTCTCGGTTTCTTAAAGAAAATAACATTATTACAGTTTCAGTTAGATAGACGACATTTTATAAATAAGCAAAATAAGCAAATAAGCAAAAAAGCCTATACATTAGGTTATGTCAAAGTTCAGGTGACTGGAAATAGTACTTAATTTTATTTAAGATTTTCTAAAAAATAAAACAATGCGTTTTTTTACTATCTTCGTGGAAACTTAACAGGAAAATTTCGAACATCGATTAGCTTTAAATTCTTTTTGTTTTTCTACACGATTCTTTTCTATTTCAAAATTTAAATTTAAAAAAATGATTTAAACAATCACGCTTTATTCCTAATGTTCTAAAATATATGTATGTACTCTTACTTTATAAGCTGTCATAATTAAAACATTCTTTAATTTTTATTACTTTATTCTGGATGAAATTTTCAAAGCGAGATCGGCGTAAAGTGGCTGAGATTCCGATGACGGGGTGCTGAATAGGAAAGTCCTATGAACTAAATCATGACAGTAACTCATCTCGTTTACTTCTAAATTGTGCAGTTATGGGGCATTTCATCATTTATAATACTGTTTGATACACACCAAACGCAAGAACATTTCTTCACAGACATCAACCACGCTTTAAAAGGTCAACTTTACCAGACGGAGAGGATTCAGAAACTAGGAGCAAGAAAAGTGAGCGGCAGATGTTGGGGTGAAGGTTGTTGGGGTGTATGCTTTTGGGGTGAAGGTTGTTGGGGTGAAGGTTGTTGTGGTGAAGGTTGTTAGGGTGAAGGTTGTTGGATGTTGGAGTTAAGGCTGTTATTGTGAAGGCTGATGGGGTGAAGATTGTTGGGGTGAAGGTTGTTGGAGTGAAGGCTGTTGGAGTGAAGGTTGTGGGGTGAAGGTTGTTGTAGTGAAGGTTGCTGGGGTGATGGTTGTTGTGATAAAGGTTGCTGGGGTGAAGGTTGTTGGAGTGAAGGTTGTTGGAGTGAAGGCTGTGGGGTGAAGGTTGTTGTGGTGAAGGTTGTTGGAGTAAAGGTTGTTAGGGTGAAGGTTGTTGGAGTGAAGGTTTTTCGAGGTTGTTTGGAGTGAAGGTTGTTGGAGTGAAGGATGTTGGGGTGAAGGTTGTTGGAGTGAAGGTTGTTGGTGTGAAGGTTGTTCGAGTGAAGGTTGTTGTGGTGAAGGTTGTTGGGGTGAAGGCTGTTAAACCAAAGTCTGTTGGGTTGGGCTGTTGGAGTAAATACTGTTGGGGTGACAGCTGTTGGGGTGACAGTTATTGCTGTTAAAGTATTGATTGGAATTGCGTAATAGAGGACCACATGGGAAATCAATAGATGAATTTGTGTTTATGCATGTCACATTAAAATGAAAATAGTAAAAATTAATTGTAGGGTTATATGTAAAACACTAAAATCGTCGTTTAGATAGACATTTTTTTTATGTTTATTTATTTTTAATAGCCTACTGCGTAAATGTGATAATCATACTAAAAGACACAAGATAATGTGTAAATGGTGATGTATACACGTAAAAAGCTATAATAGAACTAGCTGGTATTCGTTGAGATGGTATTAGATCAAGGTCGCTGATTGTGCAGAAGGTTTTTCTATAGCCTGCACCCCGAAGAAATAGAATATTATAGTTGGTCAAAAGTTGATGTTATATGATGCGCTGCACTACAATTAATCTCACTCTATTTTTGGGCATATTGTGTTTGACGACATACGTTGATTTTCATTGAATGACAACTTTTATTCAAAAGAATGGTAACAGCAGACGATGGCACACCTGAAGCACGGCCAAAACCTCAGCGCTGATTACCCGAACCAAGACACCGGCGCTACCACAGGCATCATATTTCTGGTCCAAATCTTATCGCTTAGCTCGACGACACTAATCCTCTCAAACAGTCCCGGGACTGACGTCACAACCGTCCCAAGTGGCAAATGGCTTGTCGCACAAAACAAAGTCAGCTCGTGTTTATAATAAACAGCTCCACTTAGCCACCAATGAAAATTTGCCCAAAGACGCGCTATTGTTGTGAATTTGAGTGCGTTGTTAGAATCTCTTTCGACCGAAAGTAAAGCTCCGCTTGAGAGTAAAATAAAAGTTTCTTTGTCTTTGTGTATTGGTATAGCAACAAAATCTTGTCCACTAACATTTGGTATTTTGGTTTTTCTTATGGTCTTAGTTTCCGAATTGTAAATGTGGACTATTAAATCGTTAGTTTGATTGGTTAAAAAATCCTCTAAACTAATCATCAAAATATCGTTTTCAAAAGCGTAGGTGGACAAGAAACCCATATAGGATTTTATTACGAATGTGCTCAGTAAATCTGGATCCAAATTGCGACATCTGGTTGCAGCAAAATCATTGTTAGTTTTGACGCAAATAAATTTGTTATTTACACGAAATAAATCACGGAGAGAATTGTGTTGGCCGCATAATTCATATAATGTTGAGTAAGTTTTATTCTCGTTCATTAAAAGGACAGTTGCGAGGCGGCATTTATGTTTGTCGTCGAAAGGACATTTTCTTAAGTACCTTTCGCGTATGAAACAAAGTGTTGACCCCAGCGATACTACAGACATCACCTTTCTGTAGCGTCCTTTAAAATTCTCAAGCTTGAGTTTGCTAAAAGCCCTGTTTTCTAAATCGTAGAGGTGCAGACATGAATCTTCTCCAACAAATATTAAGGCATTTCTCTTTCCGCACC